GGTAAGATAAGTACTGAGTAGCAGGAGAAGCAGGTATGCTTGGAACATGAAAGCACCAGGACTCAAAAAAAAAATTTCTACTGAATACAGCTTAGGAAGTCCTAAGCATATAGGATGGCAAAATTCAGAGGACAGTGGCTTGCAATAAGAATACTGACATCATAGTGAATCACGATGCTGCTTAATGGAGAGTTTTACACAAAACATGAGTGTTTCAGCTTTTTACATCAATACTTTCTACAAAAGTTTTCAACAGTTCTTCAACTAATTTAAACATTAAATTAGCTTCCAATTAGTTTAGGATAGCAAATCACTATAAACTCTTTTCTAAAATCATGTCCATAGCATTAGGCCATATCAGCTGGTACAAAACACTTACCTTGTGCAGTAGTTCAATTTCACATCCTATTTGTGCAAGTACACTAAGTGCTTGATAAGCCCATACTTCCCCAGGCTTTGCTCTTAATACCTAAAAATGGCAGAGAAAGAGTTTTTTGTTGCAAAAACAAAGACTGTTTCTTTATCTAAGCAAAATCCTCATTCAAATATATATAAATACAAGCAGTAAAAAACTCAGTTAAGTCAAAGAAATTCAGTTAAGTCTAAAATTCCAAAGTAGAGTTCCATTAGGCCTCAAATACATACTTTGTGATATTTAAGTACATCTTATCAGAAGACGCAACTAGAAGACATTATAACAGGCTAAGTATTTCTTCACAGCACTTATTTGGATAACTGAACTGTGCATCAATCTCCAGCACATAGTTTCTGGTCCCTTTTAAGGCAGAGAAGTTTCACACAGAAGAGAAGCAGGGATCATATTACATATAAAAACCGTAACTTTGTCAGAGTTATCAGCTTGCACTGACAAAGTAATATTCCCAAGAAGACATGCAAGCAGAGTAAAACATCAGGTGACCTCACTGAACATTAAGCAACTTGCTCAGTCATCATCCTGATCAATATTAGAGATCAAACAACTCTCAGGACAAGAAACAAAGAAAAGCTTGTGATTATTCTCAAACAGGGCCAGGAAAGAAGTAGATTGTAGCAAGGAGATTTAACTTGTCATAATAGATTTACACAGCCTTGTCATATAATAAGAAACCAAACCAAAACAACCAACAAAAAGGAACTAACAATGCCCACTAAAAGAAGGTTCCAACAGCTTTTACTACACAACTCTCATTTAACAGGGTTCACAATAAAGCCATAAAACTTAATTTAAAAAAAAAAAAAAAAACACAGCGACTGCATAAAAAGAATGAGCTGCCCTGTATTTACTCAAAAATCTGGCCATTAAAAACATGCCATGCAAGTTGGTATTTCAGTGGTGTCCAACTTGTCATTTCACAGAATATACTTAAGACTTTTAATTTTTTTTCAGTGAGGTGTTAGACACAGCACAGGTTGTGTAAGCAGACCTCAAAGGATTACAAGTAATTAAAGGTTTATGGCTCTGTATGAACCTCCCAGTTTCTCGGAAAAAAAGGTATCCTTGAAGTATAAGTACAGTTCTAGAGCTTCCAGACAGCGTAAATTAGGAACATTAGAAAACCCAGAAAGCAGCTCTGTGCCTTAGTGTACAGAATATTAATAAAAAGGTACGTAAATCATTACATTTTGGCTCAGTTCTTTTCAGTACTGCATACAAAAGCAACTCAACAGGACAAGTGAATCTCACTAATTATGGTATTTAGTAACTTGGAATCCTCTACCCAAATCCTTTTCAGTTGCATTTTGAATTCAGTCTTCGTTGACTGTTACATACAACTAGTAAACAATTTTGTTGCAAAAGCATGTTACAGAATTTAAGCACCTCACAATTTACAATGGAAAGCAGCTAGTCTGCTGCTGCATATTCTTCTCAAGGACCAGTCTTCACATTTGTAAGATTTGTGGTTATATGACAAGAGAACGTTTCTTGATAGTGCTATCACTGCATAAAGAGAACAAGTGGGAAACAGACAAGACTTGAAAATTCTGGTAGAAAAAAATTCACCAGCAAAAACATTAAGCATACAATATAAAAGGGTTTGTGTTCTGCAAAGCACTACATCTTCATTACCTGTAAAATACCTCGCACATACCATGTATTCTTTTTCACTTATAAAGAGGTTGAGTTCTACTCTTCCGTATCTGTATATGGAATTGCATTCATATAGGCCAAAAAGAAGCCTCCAAAGTCTGTTTCTTTCCAACGTGTGTGGCATGATTCCAAAAATTCTCAGAGGTACATCTGTTTCAATAACATGTAAAGGTATTTTTAAAATTTTGCAATACATATTAGACAATCTCATTAATTCTAATGTCTAAACTACAAATAATTAAGAGAAGAAAGTCTGTGAGCTCATGTTGTTCAAGAATGAATACAATTCAAGCCTTAGTCAAAGTTAAACCCAGATTAGTTTGTGTTAGACTAAACCTTTAACAGACAAGAAAATACTTGATATCCCATATTGCCACATGGGGTATTTTTTGAAGCTATCATGAGTCTAAGTAAAGCTGAAGTGTAGAAAATAGTATCCATTAATCGAGCACATATATTAAACAGAACATATACCTCAAGCAAATCCCAAAGATTTTGCCAAACTGCCTATGCACCCTTCAAATGTATTTGTAACATGTGTGATCATATACATATACCTGCCTTCCAAGGAACTGCTGCTACACCCATGGTTTCAAAAAGCTTCTCAGAGCACACGGCAGGTGGTTTCAGTGTTCCACTCACCAAAGGATCCAGTCTGCAGAAGTCACCATAAATGACCTTTAATTGTCCATCCAGGCTATTCTCTAGGGACTGAATAAAATCAGCTTCAGTTGAAGAAATCTGGATATAGTAACTGGTCTCACAAAACATCCCACCCAAACGAAAAATATATTCAAGCATTACTTAAAATTGTTACCCAGTCAACAAGAGTCAAATCTCAGAGCTGCTTCTTACAGCTGATAAAAAGAATTGCCTCCTTCATTGTGCTGGGCATTTTGACATTTTTTGTGCTGTGCAACTTGAGTGCCATTAAAACAATTCTTAAATTACTACGATGTTCTGCAATGTTTTTCCTTAAAAAAATCCTAAACTATACTTAACTAAACAAACAACTTCATTTAATGATTTACAACTAGAATTCTTCATATATGCAGAGAGAATGCCTTTTATACACATTTTAAGTCAGAGGGTGAGTTGTTGGTTCCAAACCAGCACTATAACACCATCCTTCTAGTACAGCTTCCATGAAAAGCCCAGGTGAGCAGGAGAGTACAACACGTGTCTTAATATGTAAGTGTCAATTACAGGAAAACACATTAAATAACACTGCGAGATAAGCAGAATAACTAAAAGTATTTTTACAGATTTCTTAAAGCTACATATGGACCTCTTGCTTAAACATACACAAATACAATGACTCTGATTAATATTACTTTCAAATTTATGCATGAAACTATTCATAGAAAGACTATGTACGAACTTGAATTCCTGCATACACAAAACGTCAAATCAACTAATTAAAAAATATTCTACATATGTAATGTATAATACCAAACAATACTTACTGTTATTAGCCATTATGTCAGATGTTACAAGTAACAATTACTGTCTAATTCCTTTTTGATCCAACAGCTATTACAAATTGTAAGTTAATTTCTTATTTTCCCTTTAATTAGGTTTTAGAAATATGCAACTGAATCAAAAGTGTACCTGTAAGTTTGGAAGATAAGCTAAGTTACTTTCCAGAGCTACCACTCTAATACCTGCATTGAGCAGAGTTTGAGTCAAGATTCCAGGACCTGAAGTGGGAAAATAAAAAAAAAAATAAAAATAAAAATTTTAAAAGTGCATTTCTATTTCTAAGTAACGTTCTTTAGTGATTTTCTCAACACAACGTTTGGGACATTTCACCTTCAATATGGGAGAGCCTGTATTTGTTTAAACACACTTCAAAACAAGAAATAGAAAAACCATTTACAGGCAGCCTGCCTGAGATTGCTCATTGAATTACACTAAGCACGGCATTACAATGAGATACTTAGGAACACTGGAGATAACGTTTCAAATACTTCTACTTTTTCTTCTGCCAACTGAAATATACTTTGAAATCGTACCCACATTATCTCTACAGATAAAATAACACTCTGCAGAAATAAAAAAACCACAGACATTAAGTAACTGCAAAGGGCTACCTGTCTTGGGTGTGCTTTTACTGACAAAGTTCACTCACAAAACCACAATATTACCTGAGAGACGCTTACATCTCTGCTTACTCTATAGCACAGTTTGAACAGCAGTGACCCGCCGGGGCGGCGGGCTGGGACAACCCCCTGTACGGATCCTGTCCCGGGCAGCGCCCTAACGCAAAGAAGCCGCCACTCCCGCCCGAAATCACGGGAGAAGCCAGGCCCCGCGTCCTTCCCTGAGCACCACCATCCCTTCGGAGGGCTGGTACCGCCGGCGGCGAGGGCGGCAGCCCGCCCTGACCCCGCAAGGTCACCGTGGCGCCGACCAGCGCCGCACCCCGGCGGAGCCCCCCGCCGGGAGCACGGCCGGAGCCCCGGAATAGCTCACCGGGCGCGAACTCGAGCAGGAGGGGCTGGGGGCCGGCCCCTCGCTGCAGGCATTGCTGCACGGTGCGCGCCAGCCGCGGGCAGGCGATGTAGCGGCGCACCGGCACGCCGCCACGATGCTCCCGCTGCACCACCTGCGCCTCCTCCGTCGCCGCCTCCGCTACCCGCAGGCCCCGGCACTGCCGCCCCGCCACCCAGCACGGCGACAGCCCGCACAGCAGCGGCCGCAGCGCCGCTGCCAGGAGGCGGCCGCAGCCCGCGGCGCCCGGCGGGGCCTGTCCCGCCAGCATTGCCCGCCGCCCGCGCCGCGCCGCCAGCACCGGGTGCGCGATCGCCGCGGCAACCGGAGCGTCACTTCCTCCGCTGCCCGGCCTCGCCAGCGCGCTTCCGCCCCGCCGGCGAGAGCTCTCCTCCCTCCTTCCCTCCCTCCCTGTTTATGGTGCCCGCCCCGCACCGCCGCCAGCCTGCGGCAGCGCGGCGACACCAGCTCCCGCGCCTTCACGCCATGCCGGGCGGCGGGTCCCGGCCGCCAGAGCCGCCGCGGAGCTGAGGTGAGCTGACAGCGGCTCGTCCGCAGGAGGGGAAGGGGAGATGCTTCCCCCGGTGCCGCGCGCTGCCGCCGCCTCCTGCTCGTCCCGGCGCCGCCGGGAGCTCTAGGGTCGGGCCAGGGCCGCCGGGCGGGCAGCGGGAAGGTGCCGGTCCCGGTGCCGGTCCCGGTGGGGCTGAGCGCCCTGCCCGCCCGAGCCGGCATGGGCGGGCGCCGGCGCTGCGGCTCCTTCCCCCGGCGCGGTGTCCCTGGAGCAGAGCAGGCGGAGGGCTGAGGCGGGTGGCGGTGGCTCGGGAGGGGGAGGCTGGGGCCGGCCAGAAACGCTATGCCGGTCGCCCCGTGCAGCGATGTGTGCGCTCGGTGTGCGGGTGAAGTCCCAGGAGCTACGTATTTAGTTTGAGGTTTGCCAGGGTGTTTCACGAGAGACTTTGATCTCCGCGTCTTCAGCTAAACAGTCACTTCGGGACTCGGGTGTTTGTATCGCCCTGCCGCCCTCAGCAGGTGCAGGATCCTGCTCCGGCGGAGCTCCGGTATCAGTCCCTGTTGGTTCGTTTCTGCTCGATGCCTTGTTGCAATCGCGCTTTAGGTCAAACCAGTAATTCAATAGCAGGGACGTTGTCCTTTCTGCAATGTCTCTAATGCCCTAACGAGAAATAACTTTTAAGAACATCTTCAAAACGTTATCAAGTTCTGCAAAACTGGAGTTCGTCCTTCAGGGATACCTGTGCTAAAACCTGTCAGTGGCAGGTGAGCGGCCACAGTGCGATGGTGAAAGGAAGAGAGAATCCTCCCAAACGTGTTTTCCTGCTCCCTGTCTAATTTGTGCAGAAGGCAAGAGAGATCTAGCAATCACACTGTATACTGGTCTCCAAATTAATGGTTCAAAAGTAGACTTTATGTTTGAATTTGTGAAAATTGCCTTATTTCTTATATCTCATTTCTCTGGTTGTGAAGTGAGAGATTAACACGTGCTTACTTACCAAACAAAGTCATTTTGTTTGACATATCTCTCTTAAACAGAAACTGGGACAGAAAATTGTGGCTTTGTTTTTCTCTTTTTGGCGGATCTGCATGCGGCATGAAGAGGGGTCGGGCTGAATTTAGAAAAGATTGTAAATGCCTTGTCAAATGCACGAGTTCTTCATAACTGAAATTTACGTACTCTGCTTTTTTACACTGAGTGCTGTAATAGTTTTCCCTGAGCCTTAAGGGAAATGGACAGGCTGTTCAGCTGGATGATGGGATAGACCTCAATCCATTTTTAAACTGGACTTTATGTTTTTAATAGCTTTTTCCCTCTCTTACTAATTAGTCTGATAATTCAGTAATCTGTAGGACTTTTAGAACATCAAGCATAATTTGATTTTCTTAGAGTAAGTGTTTAGTCATGTCCTAATTCAGCATTCCTTATCAGAGTTTATGACAGCTATGGCCACAAAAAAATTAGGTATAGTTTTAAGCTTAATTAATTAATTTTGGAAATTTTTTGTTGCCAGTCAGAGCACTCAGGAGTACTTTGAATGGAGTATTCAGACTAATTGAGATTATTCAGAGGAGTGTTTTGGAGGAATCAAAGGCAAAATGCCCTAACAATTCTTCATACACTAGAAATGACACACTTTTCCTCATATTTTTATTTACTTTAGATTAGCAATTGCCTGGATTGAACCACGGATCTCTATAGGCTAAACTTATGTTTTGGATTTTTTTCCACCTACTAGAACTGCCAGATATATACTGAATCTTGCATGCATAAAGGACTACCTCTTTATGACCTGGTCATTATCTTTGAAAAACTATTGAAACCCTAGGAAAATGGTAAGTTATGTACATTTTTTGTTTAGAAAATACAATGCAGAAAGTTGTTGAATACGTTAAAGTGTATCACAAGGACATTTGAACAGTTATTTTTATGTTAATGGCTGATTGTGCCATATATTTTCTAGTTTAATCCAGCTATCTGCACATGAAAATATTTGAATTTACAGTCTTACCTCATAGAGCCTTATGTCTTTGTAATTTACATTCATTGTTGGGTGTGCTGAAATTATTGTTTCCTCCTAATTATTGTTTTCTGAAATAAATCAGAGGTAATCAAAAGGGCTACCTGTTTGTTTGGATTCCAGTCTATGCTTGCACCAAAAGAGCTCCTTAGTTGTATGGGTCAAAAAGATAGTAAGGAGATATTTTTCTTTTCAGTGGTTCTAAATACTTCTTGCATTTACTTTTATTTGGCTCAATTTAACTCTTATTTTTCAAGTTAATATTAAAGCACTAGTCTTTTAGTATTATTTTGCTATGTATTAACCATTTAGCCATAGCAAATATTTACAAATAGTAAAAAGAGTGATAGGAGATTTCTTTAAAAGTGCTGTAAACACTGCACACTCAGGAAAATAGTCTCTATAAATAATTATTTTTTAAAAATCAATCGGAGAGTATATTTACTTTTTTGCCATATTTTCTTGTCATCACTGTCCTCCACTCCAAACCCATACATACACAAAGGAAATCTCCCAAGAACTGAAGTAGCATTTAATCCTATGCCTCAATCCTGCACCTGGTTTGAGATCGAGTGAATTTGCAACCTGTGGGTTATATCGGACATCTTCCTTTGAAGTGAAAGTCAGTCTTTGTAATGAGGTCAGCAATTTTGTATTTAGAGCCATTATGGACTATAAACCTTAACTTATTGCTTTCCTACATGTCATCTGTTGACAACTAAAAATGGCTTGACGTTTGGATGGGGACAGGGGCCAGGGAGTGGGGGGAGGCTTTTTGCTGTTTGGCCAAGCTATTAGTAGTAAGGGAAATAAGAATCCAAGGTTCCTTGGAAGCCTGCCTGCTCCATGTGACAGTGTAGCTTCCAGCCTAACGCTGAAAACCTGATTAATAGGGAGTTACTGTCCATTACAAGTCAGTTAGATCAATTGTGCAGATCACTGGAGAGTGAGGGCCTGGGTGCCAATTAAGTGAAACAATCAAGTTAGTTCTCCTTTGAGATAATTTCTGAGCGTTAGGTGTATGGTCATGTATGTTAATGTAAGGTTATTTGAAAAAAAAGTTAAACCACTCCTCCTTTGCTATTTTCCGCATGTAATAACATGCTGTTTAGTAGGAAAGCATTTTCATACCAGGTGCAGATTGACTTTGCAGCCTTACAAACAGTGCAGCAAAGTTCAGAGCTGACAAAAGAGCCATTCAGCACAAAAATAAACATTTTTAAATGAGCAGATGCCTTGAATTCTGTCCCTAGCAATGCTAAAAACACTGTCCATGTTTTATTCCCCTTATAATGAACACTAAGCAGCAATATTTTTGACATTTTCAGCGGAGAGGCAAAGGGTTCTGTAGTGTGAAGATGGTTGCATAAGCTGTGTATTGTAAGGCATTTTGGCAGGGGTACAAACTTTCTCACTCTGTGCTTTATCTGTTCTGTGTATACAGAGAAATTCAGTCCCTAGGGCTATCAATCTGGCATCTTTCATCAGCACTAAATTTACTGCAAATGCTTTTTGTGTGCAAGCAGAAAAAAAGTCCCATTAAACCTTTGCAGACAGGAGCAAAAACATTCAAATAGGTGCTTTTTCTGTTTCTTTCTCCCAGAATTCCTCTTCATTTAATTCTGATGAGCATATTCTGCTGACTCAAATTCACTCAGCACGTTTTTGTCATAAGTCTTTATTCTGAAGGTTTTTGCAGTGTTACCTTGCTCAAGAGCTTGACATGCTAACGATTTTCATAGTATTTTTTACTTATTAATCTACTTGCGGTATAACTGTGGTGTCTTGTGAAAATGTCTGGCTAACTGATAAGGAAAGGGTAGAGGTTTTAGTGATGTTAGTGTCAAATATTTCTGTAGACAAATTTTAGCGTGCTGTGTGCTTGCTTTTCAGGAACAGAGTTGCTTAGGAGTGTGAAGTTTTTTGTACTGTTGTTCCAATACACTGTTCCACCTCTCCCAACTGAATTGCTAATGTGTGGCCTTAGAATGTGAGCTTTAACGCTGCTTTTCTCTGTCTGTGCGATTAATTTAATTTTCTTGTTGTATGTTGTTTGGAACATTAATATTACACTGCAGAGCAAATTCAGATTAGTTCAAAATAACTTTGTTTTTAAAAAAGAAAAGAACCCAGACTTAATTTTAGTATTTGTTTTGTCTTTGTTATATGAGCATGTTAGGAAGATTTTTAGGTTTACTTGGTGAATATGGTATTGAAATCACATGGACATTCATAATATCCATTGGAAGTGCTTTCCTAATGGTTTAAATTTGGAATTTTCTGTGCTTTTTGGCTGAAAGGGAGGGCATGATGGTCTTTATCGCATTAGACCAACATTTCAGCTGGACCTACATCACAGTCCAGGTGCTGTTCATTCTGTCGTTACAGTGTTACAGTTGACTAATGGCAAAATAAACAAACTGGGGTGCATCTGTCCTGAACTTACAAGTTTGTAAATTGTTTGGTAATAGTTTGGCACCTTCCTTGGCTCAGATTCATGTGTTTATAAAATAAAGCAACATGCACGGTGCAGAGCTTACACATTTGGTCCCAGGGGAATTTTATGACAGTTGGCATAAAAAATTACCCTTTATCCAATATTGTTTTGGTAGCTGATTAGTTTCTTATCTGGATTTCTCTTTTACTCATGGAAGACTGTTAAAGTCTACTATTTTAACACTGAAATATGACATCATTAACACAAAGAGAAATAATAATCACTCAATGTCTCTATAGGCTGTAAAACTCCTGTCATGATGTCACTGAAACTGTCTTACTTTGGGTTTCAATTGAAAATAGTTTTTACCATCTTACAGTACTAATGCTAGGTTTTGTTAATGTTTGTGGTACTTGGGATTTTGTAATGAAAAGTTTTTTAAGGGAAACTCCTTAAAGTGGCCTTGATAATAGGAGTTTTCTGAAAAACTGATCTAAAACAAATTAGATCTCTGTTTACAGGCTCAGGTATTGCAAGCATACATTCAAATTCTGAAAGAGAAACTGATAACCATCTGCTTCAGAAAACCTCTCCACAATCTATTAATCAAAAGTATGTGTAAATTGTGAGAGACAGCTCATATAGCCCAGCATTTATTTACACAATTAGAGCTGAAATGAATTTACCTTAATAACTTCCTGTTGGAAAGCAGAGAGTTGAAACAGCACTTCAGGCTAAATTCACCACTGGGTTTAAGTTGTTTCAGCTTCATTAACTTCAGTCAAGTTACACCAGTGATTAATTTTTTGGGGGGTTGTGATTTGCTTAACATAGGTCTCTTCTGGTTTATATGTGGTTGAGTTCTCGCTCATCCCATTCAAGGGCAAAAAAAAAAAAAAGGTCGGTGTGACTGACTTCATGGAGGAGGTTCAGAGCAAAGAAGGGATTTGATCTCGGTCATTCGTATCTGGCACTGAATAATGTAGAAATTAGACCATCCTTCCCTTCAGAAATATAAAACAGACTGATGCGAGATTTTGGAAGAGCTCCTGGATATTCTGATTTTCTAATGGTGACAATTATGGAAGCTCCAGCAATTAGCTCTGTTCTTAACCTTCTGGCTGGACCTGCAGACTTGATAACAAAGGGACTGCAGGTATGTAATACTTATGGACAGGAGTAATTTATAATATTTAATAACTTTTATGGATAGCTTTCCATTTTATTTGTGATTTCTTCTGGCCTTGATGTGATTTAGGACCTCACAATATTTTGACAATGCTAGTTTTCTTTGTATTGATGGGGGCTATATAACTTGCTCATCCCTCATCAATACATAAAAATTATGGAATTCAATGTCATTATGAAATTCAACTGTCAGAAAGTCTTTAACACTTATTTCTTCAGTGGGACAGCTTTTAGATAACTGCCTCATTCTTCTTGCATCTCCATTTCAAGGGACTCTGTTCTGTCATCTCTGCCTTTTCATATATGTTTAAAGTTTTTTCACGAGATCATGAGAGATTTTATATCATTGTATGTTTTTTAGCAACCTCTTACGAGGTGGTAGGATCTGTCAGCTTTCTCAGGTCCTTGTAAAGATAAAAGTGAGTTGAGCTGATTAGTTCTCACAAATATAGTCTGTGTGGATTTGCAGGACTTTTTAATTTTTTTTTTTCCTGTAAGAAAAATGGTACCTATCCTAGAAAACATGCATAAATTTGTCTTGTAGGAAGTCTTTAATTTTTGTTATGCTTTGTAATCAAACTTGTGCACATGTTCTGTAGCGTGACAAAAATCTGGGCATTCTTCAATTAGAAGGAAAATACAGAAATCAAAAAAAGGCAAATTGCTACTTCTCATAAGACTTAAAAGGAGATTCATGCATCCCAAGGCAAGACCAGTTACTCATAGGTTATTCCTGACCAATGTTTGCCTAAACTGTTTATAAAATAGCTGCGGGGATGAGTTCTCCATTCTCCTAAAGCAGTCTATTCTACTGCTTTTCTACCCCTGCCCAAGATACATTCTAGTGTTTTGTTGCAGACAAAAACAAAAAATGAACACATTGAATGGTGAGGTCACCTTTTGTTCTTATAACATTCAATGAAGTTTGTTCTAGTGAAGCTTGAAACCCAAAACTTCTCAGGCACTTGGGGGACTGATCACTGTGTGTTTTGAATGCTGACAAAGAGTTTGTTTGTGTGAAATTTTTGATAGAACTCTGTCATATGTTCTACTAAAAGCTGCTATTTCTTCCCAGACAAACCTCTTGTATTTGGCTGCTGACTGAAACATGTTTTTATAGTAATGTTAAATGTGGAATAGTAGATTATGCCTGGCAGTATATGTTTATCATTGTTTATTAAAGCTGTGAA